ACCCTTCACAATAAAAATGATTAATCAACATCTCATAATTATAAAAAAATGAACAAAATGAAAAATTATGATTGGTTGAATGCGGTTTGCACGGTTTGTACAAATTGAGTGGTTTGCATTTGATCGCTCCCATATATATATATATATATATATATATATATATATATATATATAAGTTGTTTTAGATAAGCAATCACAAACACCCCCTACATGTTCTTATGTTTGTGTAGAGAGAGAAGCGATCAAATTCAAACCACCCCTTTTTGTGCAAACCCCACGAACCAATCTCATCCATTCATTTTCTAGATCAATAGTCATGATTAAAATGTGTGTTATTAGAAAAGTAAAAGAAATGTTTAATATTTATCAAGAAAGGGCAAAATTGGCAAATCATTTTTAATTTCCAGCCATTTATTCGATTTTTTCCCTTTTTCAAACATTTTTATTTTGGAAACTGAATAATTGTATTTCATCAGTGAAACTGGTGTCATGACTAAAACGTTTCGGAAACTAAATAAAATGACTTTATTCGTGAAATTGAGTTCATGTTCAAAATTCGAAAAAGAATTACCCTCAGATTCATCTTCATTTGATCTAACATTATTGGATTTGACAAACATTTCATTAGTGAGATCGGTTTTAAGAATTAAATTTTTTTGCAAAATAAATAACACGATTTCATTAGTGAAATTGGCTTCATCAATAAAAACATTTTGGAAGTTGTATCTCATTTTTTTTCGTTAGTGAAATTTGTTTCATTGTTCGTCTGTATAATTAAATTTGAGCCAGATATGGTTCAGTCAATTGAACATTTTCCAAAAAACTGAATAACATGTTTTCGTTAATGAAATTCGTTTCATTATTGAAATTCGTTTCATGGACTCCACAATTCCAAAAACTAAATGACATTGTTTCAGCAGTGAAAATTGTTGAAATGTTTCCTAACCAAAATGGATTCGATTTCATGGTTTCTAACCAAGATGAACTCGGTTTTACATATGAAACTAAATATTGTTCAGTCAATAAAACACTTCAAAAACTAAATAACAATATTTCATTCATTTTTAAATTTGTTTCATGTTTCCTACCAAAATGGAACGGTTTCATGGTTTATAGCCAAGATGAAATT